TGCCTGCCTATAAACATAGGGCACATTCAGAGTCCCCTTGCTGGAGTGCTGCAAAGCCAAAGGGCCAATAAGCGGCTGCTCTTTTTCTCCTGCACCCAGAGGGGAGCCTGCCAGGAAGCCCAATCACTGACAGCTTGCCCTCGGGAAGAAGAACGACTAGGCAGGCTGTCAGCTGCAAAGGACAGCACACCATATCCTGATGACCAGGACAGCTGTGGGCCACCTAACAGTTCATCATCATCGTGGGGAGGGCAACAAGGAGAGGCACTGCTGCCTCAGGTTTCTCTGCCATCATGGGGACAGCAACTGTCCCCACTCCTTCCCTTACTAGTAGTAGCCCACTCTGTCACTGCCACCAAGCACTGATCCCTTTTGCTACAGTAGTGGCAGCAGGATTTCTGAGCTGAGTTGCTGTTCCCCCAGGAAACTAGCAGGTTTTTGGACAGCTCTCCATGATGAGAAGTGCATCACCCTGTGGACATGTCTACACAAGATGTTTACTGTTTAGTAGACTAGTTGCATAGTAAATACCTTGGCAACTATATGTATGACCCCATTAGGCTGGAGTAAATTAATTTACTCCACAGCAGAATAGTTCTTGTAAATACAAGTCCTATACTGCTGCAGAGTAAAAAAACTCTGCAACAACACACGTGTAGGCACTGCCCCAGTTGGCTGGGGCATGAGGGTGCTTCAGTGTGGGAGCTGCTGGCTGGCTAGCCCTGAGCTGAACCACTCTCAAGCCTCAGCCAGTCCCTCCACAGCATGTTGGGAGAGGGCAGCCCCAGGCTGGCTGGCTGACTGACCCCCACCCCCAGATCCCCTGCTAGCTGGGACTGCTTTGACCTGGCTCAATGTGCTGTGGTCCGTGGTGCACATTCAAATGGCAGTAAACGCTGGAGTTTATTTCTTCATATTATTTGCATGTGTAGATGTACCTTGTTTTGACTCAGCTGCTGCTCTGCTTTCTGGTCTTGTAACCAGCTGCTCGCTCTTCCTCCCTCCCTCTTTCACTCTCCACTGGGGATCAGAGAGGAGAGCAGAATATTGGGGGATGCTGGGGGTTCATGACACCCTCCTGTGACACTAAATGTAACCAAACAGGCATTGCACAGACATGGCACTGCAAAATCTAGATTGCAGAGAAGTTCTGCCATTTTGGGGCACTGCAAGGGGTATGCACATCAACTTCTTTAGTGCTACAAATGTTATAGGACTGCCACAAGAAAGGGACTGGTCTGTAGCCTGTTCCTGCTTTTCTTGAACTAGATCTGGACTAACATGAAGGTTGGGGTTGCATGTAAAAAGCAGGGTTAGCAGTTCTTTAGTGGTAATAAATATCTATACCAGACACTATCACTAATACTTAGAAAACTGAGGTACATAATTTTATCAAATAATGAATTTATTGCCATTCTGCAAGTAAATGGAATATGTTAAGGTTTCCTGTATACAGAACCCTAAAGGTAAAGAAGAGTAGGTTAACTGCCACTATCCACTCAAAAAAGTGAGATGTGGCACTTTGTATATCTAAGAAGATTTAAAACTAAATTACAAATACTTAAGGAGGAACATTTGGGATAGTTCTGATCAGATGGTAATTAAACAGCCTCAATTGATAATGACTTGCTTAATCTTTTTGAACACCATTATGTGCAGGCCAAGACAAGACAACGACCTGGAAAAGCAGTGTCGTATAGTGAACATATGTGATATGTTTCCTTACAGGACATACTTCACTGTTGTAACTGTCCACTAGAAATAGTGCCTACAGAAAAGTAGAGCAAAGTCTTTACTGCAAAGTAATGCAGAATTCTATGTGAATTATGCTTCTAGTTCTGTTTTCCATCCAATCTAGTTCAGTGCTTGCTTGGTCCATTCCTTGTCATGTTTTATATTTTTATCCATGAGAGGTTATCCCCATTCTTTGGTTACTATGGAGAAGGATTGTTACTGTACTAAACAGGGTTCAGAAGGAATTTCACCATAGCTTTGTGTTTGCTTTGCATGGGAAAAGTACAAGGTTCGACTTTTCCACTTCTTTCTGATGCATGTGTTTAGTGTGTACATGAATCCTGAATGATCTTCTCCTGTTTATAAATGTTTAATAGTACACAGTTTTGGATTTGTCTTTTGCTCCAGTGCTTTTTATAACAAAGAACCAAGGTCTGGCCCGAAAGAAAAGTAGTTTCACGATGTGGTAAAATCCATAACAGACCCTCAAAGATAACTGGTAAAAATATTAGAGGGGACCAGAAATCTGATGCCAGCCTGCTTAAGTGCAAAGATTGGATTTTGTACCCTTACAGCCTATACTGAGATCCTGGCAATGCAGCATTTTTAGTTAGTTATATCATCCAATGTATGTGGTCTATATTTATTAGGAAACATCCTAGTGTTTTAAGTTCAGTTACAGCAAGATCGAAACTAATATTTATTTCACCTACGTCAGACCATATTATATATAAGGGTGATAAAATGTAGTTCGGAACTGCATAGTTATGGTACTAAGAAACTAACTGTAATTAGATCATTCTGTTGAAGCTGGCTTCCTGGTCAGCCAAGAGAGAAAGGTATGCAGGGTCAGAAAGAAAAGAGTAAGCTAGAAGGCACATTGCTTAGTCAGATGGCTACTGCCCTGGAAAAAAGTAGACCTTGGACTGTAGCCTTGACACCTGCTCCTAGTGGAGCAGGGCATGTCTACATATGCAATTAATAGGAAAAACAGGCATTGATGACTTACCTTACAGTCTTTAGCTCCATAAGAGCCCACCGGCAGTCTGTTTTTCATAGATTCATAGATGTTAGGGTCGGAAGGTACCTCAATAGATCATCGAGTCCGACCCCCTGCATAGGCAGGAAAGAGGGCTGGGTCTAGATGACCCCAGCTAGATACTCAT